CATGATGCACCCCGTTCGACTTGGCCTGCTTTTCTTCTTGTTCACGTAAAATGCGACCTCTCACCAATGTATTAAAACACTTTGAATTTATACTTTGCATGATTATAGTTGGTCAATGCGAAACATTATTTTTTCTAAACATTTTCTGAGACCGATTTTATCAACGCAAAGTTATTTTTCCAGACAAGATGGGCTTCGTAATATCTGCCATAACATCGCCCGGGCGATGCCTAGAAAAATAAAAAAAAAAGGCAGTGCAGCCAGACGGCTACTTTGTAGCCACGTGTTCATTGTTTGTTTGTGTACAGAGTGACCTTTGCCATTTTTCACTGTTTCATTTCAAGTGTAACATGGTGCGTGGTCGTTGACGAAGTGCGTGTTCTTTGTTCGACTATACGCCATGAATGTCGCTAGCCATGAGTCTCAGAGGCACTAAAAAAACGTCCCGTAATCGTGTTCATTGGAAAACAAAACAAATCACAAATAAATTTATGTAAACAGTTCCTTTTTGAATCGATCTAAAAGTACTCGTTTAATTCGCGCACCAAAAACCAATAATTTCCGTTTTGACGCTATTAATTCGTGCACTTGAAAAAATAATTCTTTTTACTACCGCGAATTAATCGAGTTTTTACGGTATACTAAAATATGTTTGGATTATTAGAGTACTAACAAATTCCCACTTCTGGTCCTGTTAGACTTAAAATACTCCACGAATATTCACTTTTGAGATGTAATTTTTGGTATGTGTTGGTTCTTGGATATTTCAGCTTCGTCGACCTGTACTTCATTTAGTAATTCGAACTTCACAGATAGCGTAAAAACAAAGAATTTTGCGATTTCAACATCGAAAATGCCTTGGCTTAATTGTTTGATGAGGAACGGCCGCTTAGGTACGTGCTCTGTGTAACTTGCAGCACATGAACCTAAAAATATTAGGTAATCAAATTCACAAGAAGTGGACTATCCCTGATACGGGTATTGCTAAATCGCCAGCTGTGAACTTTATCAGGATTCCCATATGAAGTTGCACATCATTCTAGCAAGGAAAAATATTGATTACTTTTGTGCAGGTTATATAATAAAATAATTAATTTCATTTTTGTTAGTGTATCTTTATTTTAATGTATTAAAATATGTACACATTATATCAAATTGGAATGGGTATTGCCAAGCTAGTTTATAAAATTATAAACAAATATTCTTGTAAATAACACTGATCGTGAAATACGCCTTTGAGAAGTGTTACTGACTAAATATTTTATATTGCAATTTCTTTCAATTTTAATTAGTTGTATTGCAATGCATTAGTAATAATGTAAATATATATACCGTACTTCCCTGAGTATAAGCCCAGGGTCCTGAACATGTAAAATCGGAAAAAATAAGGGGTGGGCTTATACTCGAGGACCACCTCAGAAAAAATAAATAAAATGGTTTCATCATAATTTAACCTGAACAACTTCCTTTGACCTAACAGGTTAAGTCTTTCGCTAACTAATGAAAATGCTGTGTTGTACAGTTGAAGTTTTCCGATTATTGACGAAGTATTTTTTTTCAACGCAATGCAGAAGTGAATTACCGCGATATTAAAATGTGACCTGTTAACACTGATTTCAACGAAAAAAACAGTGATTTTTCCCCTAAAAGCTGTTATTTGCAATTTTCGAAAGGTAAACTGAGGGTGAGAGAAGTATTCAAACCCTTCACGGCCACCAACAAGTCATGTCAAAGAATAGTTTGCTCGTTCACACCCCATTCAATGGACAAGATTATTCGGAAAAGTAAAACGATGATCAGAGACCAGGTTTCACGACTTGACGATCACATTTTTGCTGTTTGGAAAACTACTACTCAAAAGAAATATGGATTATTTCAGTATTGCAACATTAGGTTCATCCTGAGTAAATAACAGAATAGAAAATGTACGAACTACTAGTATGTTCCGTCACGTACGTTTGCCCGCTGTGCAGTCTGAAATTAATGGAGTTTTCTCGTAGAGCTGGAACCAAACTACCGTACTAATCATGATTTTTATGCAATGAAATACACTTTTTACATGCATATATAAATGTCGTTGATGCCCGGTAAAAACACCCTGGGCCTATACTTGAGGATGTCCTCAACTCGTTAAATGTCCAAAAAACCAGGGGTGAGCTTGTACTCAGGAAGGGGCTTATACTTGCGGAAGTACGGTATATACATTTCTTTATTTCATTGTTGAGACTGAGTTATATATTTGTTACGTACTATAATTTATCTATATTGAAAAACGGTTATGAGGATTATTAATTTTAATAAACAATATTCGATTATCCTTTGCAACACCAATAAGATCATAATGATAATGTTTCTTGGTCTTTGAAACTTTGGGCATTTTCAGAGCCTGGGTCTTATTTTGGAACTCCTGCCAGAGAAACTGCACAAATCATAAAGGCAAATTAATAGCTTCTAAGGATGGTATTCCCAGAATAGTTGTTAAAGAAACATAAAACTTTAATTCTCAACAACGATGAAAGGACCAGATACTGCGAGACCCACCTAATATGAAACCCACTTACCACGAAAGCCACTTACCGCGAAGCTACTAGTATATAATACAGTATATATTAGCAGATATTGAAATAAAGAGACTTCTGAGTCTGTGGACAGTTTTTAAAGTTATATACATGTAGTTGCATTGCAACAACAACTGTAGTGGCAGAAGGAGAAAGTCTTGCAATTTGTTCCCATGTCCTAAAAACTATTTATATTTATTGAGTTACCTTTCAACAGTTTCCAAAATCAAATTCAACCAATTATTTTGGCCACTCTTCCCGACATCCACGATTCAAATTACCCCCGGTAGTTGGGAGAGCTATAGTACAATTTAGGACCTCATTTGGATGATACATACTAGGTCTTTACTACATAAATAAAAAAAAAAACACTGAAGAGAAACGTCTGCAATGTTGGATGCTCATGACACAAAAATCTGCATTCCAAAAAACTGAGAATTTTAGACTGGCCTTAATAATGATGTTTTAACTGTGTGAAAGCAAACCAAATAAATTTTAATTCTGTTCAATGTTGTTTAACAAAGCCACACTAAATGAGAAACAGGCTTTAAGTTTATGTAATTAAGCATGGACTTGTATTGCAAGACTGTGCTCTGCTGAAATAGCGAAGCTATAATTTTGAATCTTGTCTTTGTCTTAATATAACTTTAAGAATATACAGTATTGAGCACTGTTTCTGGCTGCATTCTTATTGAACAGCAATGGGGGGAAAATTAATGCCGGCCCTGAAGTTCTTCATGATTTTTACAACATTATCACTATTGTTTTCATCCATAACTTATAAAAATATAACAAAATGGCAATGATCACTATTCGGAAGCATGGTAGGCGTGCATGACGGACTCAAAAAATTGCATAAAAATTAATATTAGTATATAGTTTAGTATATATTATTGCCTAGCAAACATATTGTCAGTTGTACAAATAATGTTGTCATGCATTTAGTATTAAGATTGAACAAGCTCCAGTGACAGCAGCATTTTTTAGAAAGGTGCGAGATTGCACTTTTTAACGTTATCCGATATTATGTCTAAGTTAGACAACTATTGGGGCAGTTTGTTAGTCCCCGTTTTCGGACTGTGTCCGAAAACGGGGACTTATGTTTTGACCTAGTGCCATATCTCTGATTTGCTTTGACTGATTATGTTCAAATTTTAAATATTCATTATACATCATGTCATAGACATACAGATATATTGATTTGATGATGCTATTCAAAATGGCCAACTGGCCATTGTTGTGCTAAAAAATCAGCAAATATCAAGCATTTCTGGCATTTATGGATGGATTTTGTTCAAACTTGTTTTCTCTGATATTATCGATAATATCGTCTAATGATAATCTAAGTCAGACAGGTCTGTCTGGGCAACTATTGGGACAGTTCGTTTTTCTCCGATATTATCGATAATATCATCTAAAAATGTCTAAGTTAGACAGGTCTGTCTGGGCAACTATTGGAACAGTTTGTTTTTCTCCGATGGTTCTCTAACTTAGACTTTATTAGGCAATAATATCGGAGAAAAACCATAACACGAGTCAGTGATGCCAACATTTCATTAGATTTTATTAGACAATAATTATCCGATAATATCGGAGATAAACGATCTTCCAAATAGTTGCCTGGACATGGGTGCCAAACTTAGACTTTATTCGACATTATCGATATAGTAGTACACAATGCATAAAATATGCTGATAGACACAATTTTACAATCAAAGTATTAAAAAAATGTTTTTTTTGCGTAGGGCTCAATTGTATGCAGGCAGCTGAAGTTCACGGATTGAAGCGTCAAACTCCAATCTCGTCAACGTACACCAGCCTTCCTATTGCATTGACCAAACTCTGACCCAAATAAAACCGCATAGCTATAGCGATGATAAACTGATAGGGATGGCAAAATTAAAAATGAGTATATCGCATAATTGACACTAATGCACACCTGGGGAATAATCTACCTGCTATGTATAAAATTGTTTGTAAAATAATTATTTTCTGTCAGAGATTTATACTTTTAAATAGTTCAAGTGATTCACTCATTCTGATATTATTAATCAGCAAACTATTCTTATTAACTTTCAGGAAATTAGATTTGTCCACATGGAACAACAACAACCTCCACCACCTCAAGGTATGTACACAAATTATAAATTAAGTGTGTCTGTGCATGATTCTGTGCCTAAATCTCAGCGATGCAGCCTTTCAATGTATAATCACATCGAATGATACTGGGCATTGATGTTCACATAGATCTTCTAACGTTGTAATTGTGTCGACAACAAAACATAAAATTATTTCCTGATCGCCACAGAAAACGTGTTGACAAATTTTCATTTTTTTTAAATTTTGCTGTAAATGTTAACCACTCAATGCACTGAACATATTAGTTCTGAGTATGTATTTTTTGACTCTTGGTGCAAAGCACACGATGGGAGTCTTTGCAGATACCCTGTCTGTGTGTGTGTGTGTTCCACTGATATCTCAAGAATTGTATGTTGGTTTTTAATGAAACTCTGTGCACAGGGAGTTGGACAAACTTATGTATTTTAATAAATTATTAAATAATAAAATGTTATACAACTTTTCTTGACTGTTTCACTAATATCTAAAGAGCTATTCATTAGATTTTGATGAAACTTGGTACATAGTTCACATCTGGACTTATGCACAGATGTGATTAGTTTTGGGTAAAAATCCTTGCATATACTCAACCTAATTTGCATAATGATTAGTAAATTTTTGCTTTTCCACTGATATCTCAGGTACCGGTACTAATCATCACATTTCAATAAATTTTACATAGATACATAGGACGATGCACAGACAGATATGTGAAATATTAATTACCTAATTTGCTTAATTAATCAATTTTCAGCTTTTGATATTTCAAGTACTATTACTTCCTTACTTTTCAATGAAACTTGGTACATAGATGCTCTAGAACAATCCAAAGACCTGATTAATTTTTAGTAAAAATGTGTGCATTTAATCAACTAATTTGCATAATTACCGCCGGTAGTTAATTTTTGGCTTTTCCACTGATATCGCAAGTACTATTTATTCCATTTCAATGAAACTTGGTACATTGATGCTCCAGAACAATGCACAGACCCACTCAATTTTGGGTTAAAATCAGATCATAATAATTACGCAATTTGCATAATAATCACATTTCAATGGAACTTCGTACATAGATGGTCTGTGACAGGACTTATCTTAATTTAATGAATCTTGGTACATACATGATATTTAAATAAATATGACATTTATTATATGGGGGCCGTCATCTTGAATGACGCATAAAACTAAATAAGAGACAAGTTGTGAAACACGTTTTTCAGATTCCTACAAATCAGGACAAAAATACCAATCTTTCACAAAAATACGGTCCGTTTGGGTTATATTAAGCCAACCGATAACAAAATTCGGCCTAATTCGTCATTTTTGTGTGGAAAAATCCCTTGCATACGAACACCTAATTACGCGAAGAACCTAGAACACTTTCCTGGGGGTATTTAAAACTAAAAATTGGCATTCCAGCTCAGCAGCCAATCAGCGACGGCCTAACACTTAGATGACAATTTCGGTTTCAAATACCCCGGCTGAGTGTTCTATGTTCCATACGTTCGCCGGCCATGCACTCTGAAATTAATTTGAGTTTTCTCGTAAAAGCAGAAACGAAACTATTGTACCAATCACGATTATTATTCAATGAAATACACTTTTTACATGCATATTTGTAATAAATGCCGTTGATGCCCAGTAAAAACACCCTGGGTTAAATGTTTAAAAACATAGGGTGGGCTTATACTTGGGGAGGGGCTTATGCTCGGGGAAGTACGGTATATGCAACTCTGTACTGGCTTTGAATACTTATTTCACCATCGTTAACTTAGTGCGCTGCTTTGCTAATTACGCAAAATTGTTTACAATATTGTACCGCTCTGATTATTTCAACATTGTAATGTATTGCTTTCATAATAAATACGCAAAATCAAGTTAATTTTACTATTGTTAGGGCATTGACCCGGGTATTGGGTCTATAAATATTTCAATATTACTGACTTGATAATGCATTGCATTCGTAATAATTACACAAACATAAACATCAAATCACTGAAAAAGATAGTAGTCAGGTGTCAGAAATACTAAATACTTGTGATTCGATGTTCCAATAGTGAATTATTTTATTCAAAATTGAACTGTAATATAAACCATACATGTACAATAACATACCATACCATGTGTAATGTTAAATTTTACTATAATATAATATAATAAACTCTGGGAGCGCACTTACCATGAACAAATGTCCAACAGTGAACTGCTAGTAAATAAGTGTTAACCCTCACACTTGCCAAATGATCAGTGAAGTCAATTGATCACTCATTGGATTTAAGGTAGTTTAAGGTATTAAAGTAGTGCGAGGGAAAAAATTAGTAAAAGTTCAAATGTAATAAGGACTTTCCTTGCTCGTTATTATACATGCTGCTATGGCAATGTATATGTTTTCAGAAAGCTGAGATATAGATGTATCTATATATTCTTATAGATAGTTCTGTAAGTTTTGTTATTTTGTGATTTTATCAAATTTAATGAACTGACTGTCGTTTTTTTCTATAATCATTAAATTAAAGTCTGTAACATTTCTTGGAGATGGACTAGCCGATTTCATTCAAACTTTGTATCATGATCATGCATATTGGGTTACAGGTGCACATCAATTTGTATTTGAGATTCAATCAAAAATGGCTGACAGGCAGCCATTTTGTTTCTATTCATGACTGAGTTTGTTGAAAGTGTGAACACAAGTACTAGACTCACAGATAACACTGTAAATTTTGTTATTTTGCAATTCAATCAGTGTTGACAAATTAATTCCATTGTGTATAATGCACCCTGAATGTGATGTACACTAAATGCCAATTTAATTTCCTTAGAATGTTCTTTGATGCATTCCAATCACCATAGTATTTATTGTTAAACTTTGCTATAACATCTCATTTGTTGTGCTCGTTGTTCTGCACAACATACAAACTTGCACATGTATCTGGCACATGTGTGGTTCTTTGACCATCACCACCACCCTCTCAAACTAGCTATGCCAGTTTTACAGCTAAAAATTAATTTAATAAATGTTAAAGTTGGATGCTCTGCTTCATTGTCAGTCTGAATTTGTATGAGAATTTGTATTTATGGTCTACCTTGAGTCACTTGATTACATCCCATATGTGCTCACTAAAGTGTAAATTACATGCTGATACTATGGCATTCAATCTTGTTAAGCTTCACATTTGAGCAACAGGTTATTCATCTGCACACCTGTCACTGGCCGAAAAATGCTTTCGTTGTTGGGCTCAATTAATAATAAGTACATTTGCAAGTCCTGTTCCTAATAAGCTTTTATTAGAAATGTTTTACACAGTTGAAACTCAAGGCTTCCCTTTTGTGAGTTTCTAAAACTTTATTCACCTGTCCACAAAAAGTTTGATATTTAACTGCCTAATATCTTTCTGGGACATGTTGGAATTTCAATCTATGATTGTACTTGCACAGTCTACTTGACGCATGTATACAACTTTAGAAGGCAGTTCACTGCATACACACTTGCAGCAACAAGATACAAGTTAGTTGGTGTAAAAAGTGATATTTTTGACTTCTTGTTAAAAACTGCAAGTCCGATTGCTTTGATATTACATATCTATAGGTACTACATGTGGACCTCTTTCAGATTTGTTCAATTCATTACGTTCAATTACCCACCATAGACTCCGGTCAGTCAAAATGACTATTTTGAACTGTAGGCATTAATTAATCAGCGATTCTGCCAATGACGAAGAGATAGAATCTAAGTCAGGGGAAGCCCCATGACCCCAAGATTCTTTTCCATTACGTCATGAACCACGTGACCGAGGCCATATGGCAGCGCCATTACGGCTGGGTAATCACTCTTAGACTAATTTTTTCCCACCTCGAATGGAGATTAAATCTAGCGAGCTCTGCCTGGATCGCTTGCTTTTTTCTTGTCTGATTTCTAGCTTAGATTATTGCCGCTGGGCGGCATGCAACATTGTAGCTGGTAGGATAGTTTTTCTTGTCATTTTTACTCTCGTGTCATTTTCCCCTTTGTGTGTAGCATTTTTCACAACAAAGAAATAAAACCCGGGCGTTGTAGCTTAATCACTTGTTAATTGCGTTTGCCTTTTACTACTGTAATTCGCTTCCCTCATGCATGTTGTCTTCATTTTATGCTTGATCTACGCATTTCGAAATGAATAGATGTAATGACAGCACTATGACTCGCTGTGGTTTTTTTGGTCTTCTCGTTTTAGAGTGCAGTGGTTATATTCAAAATTTACCAGCATAGAACCTGCATCCGATATGCTTTTTGCCATGGCTGCGTGTGAGGTTCGAGGTCTTCGCCTTGAAGGCGTGTGTTTTTCACTGGTGTTCTGAGGCCTCAGATTTTTTTCAGAGCCATCAAAATCGCTGAGACTGACTGCGTCGCTCGTATTTTCACAGCAAGGTCACGCGTCCAGTAAAAATCGGTTAAAGTGAGTTGTGTGTTTGGCATGAGTGGAAAGTCCTCACGCTCGGCTACCTGTGCTTTGCGTTCCGGGACGTCGAGTAGGAGGCCCGACAGTGAGGGTACCAATATTTTTTCAGTCTCCCCCGCTGATCGGAGGGCATCCTCACAGTCTATGTTTGCAGACGGTAGGTTACCCGATTTTATCAACTACAGCGAGGCTGTGCCCCTGGAGGTTTTTCCTCCTATGTGGCCCGTTGCGGGTCCCTTTGTGTCCCCCCAGTGGGCAAGCATGAAGAAACACAAAAGCAACGTTTGCATTCAAACATGGGGAACCCCCCATTCCCAGCCACTGCTCTCCCACTAATTTGGGTGAGGCCAAAGCTCAGGCTAATTGTACCGGGTCTCTTCTAGAGCCTCGGGCACTGAATGCCTACGGGGTGCTGGCAGCCTAGCCTCCGATCTCAATGTACATTATTCCATTTCAATGAAACTTATTACAAATATGCTCTAGGACAATGTAAAAACCTAATTAGTTTGGAGTAAAAATCTGTTCATATTAATTCCCTAATAAGCAAATAATTCATAATTTTTTGGTTCTAATC